AGCCAAGTCCCCTGAAGGAGGTGCAAGGCAGGCTGTTTCATAGTTACTGAGAGCATATAGAGGGGCATGGCTGGGAGAGAATCCCCCGTTTTTGTCACAGTTGCTGGTGTTGTTGCTGTGACTGTAACGAGAGTGGTGGGAATCCGGGTGGGCGTGCTTAGAGGAAAAGCTTCTGGCAGCAATGGGATGTGGCTGGAGGTGGGGAGGGAGAGAAGAGAGGCTCTTGCTGCGGGTGGTGCTGGGAAGGTGGGGTGGGGGTGGATGGGGTGATGCATGAGGGGATGCTGTTATATGTGCATGGGGATCTGCACTATGTGGTGCTTTAGGTGCATGCACATGCGCATGCATGTGGGTGGTGCCGGGAAGGTGGGATGGAGGAGGCAGGGGTGATGCATGGGAAAATGCTGTTATGGTTCCAGGTGCTGTTCCCATGCTGCCATGAGTGCTCTGCATGCCACCATGCGTGTTTTGCATGCCGCCATGCGTGTTTTGCATGCCACCCTGATGAGAAGAGTCACGACTCTCATGCACAGCACCACATGACCCATGAACAGTACTCGCCAGCATGTTTCCATCCATGTCACCCATGCTCCCAGGTTGCATGCCCCTAGGCGGCATGCTATGAGTTACAGCATGATTCGCAACTCCGCTACAGCAGCTGCAGCGAGGAACGGAAAATCCAGAAGCACCCTGTTTCTCTACAGCCTGAACGTTTGCAAAAGCTGTAGCAGCATATGTAGCGGCAGCTGTTGCAGAAGCTGTAGCGGCGCCTGTAGCAGCAGCAGCAGATGTAGCAGCAACAGTAGCAGCAAAATAACCCTGCTGCTGCTGGCTATCCATTGAAAAGGGACCAATCGTGCCTCTGGCTACAGCTGAAGCTGTGGCTGCTGAAACTTGTGTTTCACGAGCTACAGCCCCTATAGCAGTTGTAGCAGCAGCTGTAGCAGCAGCGCCAGCTGTAGCAGGTGTGGCAGCAGCAGCAGGTACGGTATGGCTGGTGCGATTTGAGTGCGAACACTCGTAGGGTGCACAGGTGCATGGCACCGATTGGCCAGAATGGCCTGACTGCATTGACTGGTCAGAATGGCCTGAATGGTGGTAACCGTAACCCTGTGATTGCCCCTGTCCCTGCTGTTGCTGCTGCTGCTGCTGCTGCTGCTGCTGCTGCTGCTGCTGCTGCATCTGATATTGCTGCTGCGGCTGCCGCTGCAGCTGGTATTGCTGCTGCTGCAATTGCAACTGGTATTGCTGCTGCTGGCGATACGGCTCCTGCTGTTCATTATGCTGCTGTGGTCCCTGCTGTTGCAGCTGCTGCTGTTGCAGCTGGTATTGCTGCTGCTGGTGCTTCTGCTGTTGTACCTGCTGCGGCTGGCCCTGTTGTTGCTGCGACTGATACTGCTGGTATTGTTGCTGCTGCTGGTGGTGGTTTTGCTGTTGCTGCTGGTTTTGCTGATACTGCATCTGCTGCTGCTGCCACTGGTTCTGCTGGTAGTGGTTCTGCTGTTGTTCGCTCTGCTGCTGTTGCTGCTGGCTCTGAGGCTGATACTGGCTGTATTCCTGCTGGTTGTGCTGACACTGCCTCTGCTGCTGCTGGCTCTCCTGCTGGCTTAGTTGCTGCTGGCTTTGATTCTGCTGCTGCTGCTGGCTTTGCTGTTGTCTCTCCAGGTGCCCTTGTTTTTGCTTCGCTTGCTCCTGCCACTGCTGCTGTTCCTGCTGCCTTTGCTGTTCCTGCTGCCTTTGCTGTTCCTGCTGCCTTTGCTGTTGCTGCTGCCTTTGCTGTTGCTGCTGCCTCTGCTGCTGCTGTTGTTGCATATGTTGTTCATTTCGCACAGGCATGGGTTGGCAGCACAGGCACTGCACCCGCTGCACACTTGCATTCTCCTGCTGCTCTTGCTTCCCTTCTGTCTGTTGCTGTGTGTGGATTGGGTTGTGCTGATGCTGCTGCTGCGGCGGCTGCTGTTGCTGCTGCTGCTGCTGCTGTTGGGATTGGTTCTGTTGTTGCTGCTGGTGGTGACTATGCCACTGGTTATTCTGTTGCTGCTGCTGCTGCTGCTGTTGCTGCTGATATTGATGCTGCTGCTGTTGCTGCTGATGCTGCTGCTGCTGCTGTTGCTGCTGCTGTTGCTGCTGTTGCTGCTGCTGCTGCTGCTGGTGGTGATGCTGTTGCTGGGTTTGGCTTTGTTGTTGTTGCTGCTGAAACTGGGGCTGATACTGCTGCTGCTGGTCCTGTTGTTGCTGCCACAGCTGCTGTTGCCTCTGACCTTCGTCTTGCTGCGAACTCGTCAGGCGCAACCCACCTTGCTGCACCCCACCTTGCTGCACCCCACCTTGCTGCACCCCACCTTGCTGCACCCCACCTTGCTGCACCCCACCTTGCTGCACCCCACCTTGCTGCACCCCACCTTGCTGCACCCCACCTTGCTGCATCCCACCTTGCTGCACCCCACCTTGCTGCAACCCACCTTGCTGCACCCCACCTTGCTGCACCACTCCCTGCTGCAACTCGCCGTGCTGCACCACTCCCTGCTGTACCCCACCGTGCTGCACCACTCCTTGCTCAAAGTAAGCCGAATCTTGGGGCGCCTGACGAAACGGTGCCTCCACCCCATCCAACCGTCCCTCACCGTTCCTGAGTGCCTCCACAATGGCAGCGTTAGGGCGGAAGTGGGCAGTCCTGATCCCTGCCGTTCTCACCCCTCCACTCACCCCCTCCTTCCTCCCACAGCCCGTCAGAGGCTTCTCTAACGCCTCTAGCGTCTGAGTTGCAAAATCTGCTGACGCTGGCAAGCTATCGCCTCTCATCCCTTCGCTCCTAGCAGAACAGGTCAGAGCCCTCTCAGGAGTCTCAAGGCTAAGTGTGGTTCCACCCTGGTTAACCCCTCCTCCTCCGCCCCTCTGCCCGGAACATGTCAGCCCTTTAAAGTCACTGCTCAGGCCATCACAATCCGTTACAGTGCCACCTGTATTCGTTACAGTGGCGTCTGTATCAGTAGCAGCTGTTACTGTGGGCACGGTCCCTGTGGTTTCTGTGGCTGTCTCCGTTATTGAGTCACTCACTAGCCGCCAACCAGAAAATGCCTGCTCGGGTGGGTATGGCAGGTCCGAGCCGAACCTTTCCCATTCCTGACCATCAGGCATGGGCAGCAAGCATGGCTCGTCCTCTCCATCAACCTCCTGGTTTGGAAGGATCCCGAACCTGAGGTCTTCAGTCCCGAGCCTGTGATTTTCTGCCCCAAACCTGGGATCACCGAGGCTGGTACCCTGGAAGAGCCCATTAATTCCCATACCTCTTCCTCCTCCTCTCTCTCCTCCTCCTCCTCCTGCTCCCTCTCCTCCAGCAGTATTGGTAACATTTTCTTCCTTAATTCTGCCAAGCTCCTCTGCTGCATTCTCTGTTTCCTGGTGCGTTGCTGCGAAGCGCCATTCAGGTCGTTCAACAGGTGGTTGGGCGTCTGAAAAAGCACCTGAGCCACCACCTGACGGAGGACCTGAAGGAACACCTGTGGCAACACCTGAAGGGGCACCAGAAGCAGCACCTGAAGAACCACCTGAACCAGCACCAGCAGGGGGTGTCAGCACGGGCGTTTGCATGACAGTTGGGGGTGGCATGGGTGCTTGCAATGCGGCTACAGATGGCATGCCTAGCGACTGGGTGGGATGGCTCGTGAGGCTAGGATGACCTTGGGGTTGGTAAGGTTGCAGAACAGCAAGCTGTGAGTGTGGCTCAGTGTGTGACTGAGTGTGTGGCTGAGGGTGTGAGTGAGTGTGTGACTGGGAGTGAGACTGAGAGAGTGACAGGGTTTGAGGTTGAGTGTGTGCGTCATAATTCTGAGGTGCCTCAGAAACAGACGCATAGGTGTGAGCCTGCATGTTCACGTGGGCGTGGTGGCACAGGCAAGCAGGCGCCTGTTCAAGGCCACGTGGCGTTTGATCCATGCCATGTGACTCAGATGCCATGCCACGTGGCACGTTATCCACGCCATGTGAGCCTGATACCATGCCAGGTGTTGTCGTTGGCCCAGTGCCATATAACACCGCAGAGCTCCCCCCTCCGCCCTGCTGCATAAAGTGAGGCGATTCAGGAGTAAGATGCTCAAACGCACATTGCACCGTGCCCACCAACCCTTCAAAGTTCCGCCCTGCTTCCTGTGTCCTTCCATCCACCTCCATCCTCTCTCCTTCACCCGCCCCTCCCCCCATGCCCATGCCATCTACACCCCCTATGCCGTTCATCCCCCCTATGCCTTCCCCCATCTCCGTCCCCCCACTCTGCCTGCTGCTTCTGCCGCCGCTGCTGCTACTGCTGCTGCTGCTCCCCCCGTCCCCTCTACAGGCTTCCCCCTTAAATGCAGTTTTAGGAGGTGCGGGCGACTCTGAGTGTCTTCCAGCCATCCCCGCTGTAAGCATACTCGGTACAGCTACAGGCGGAGGTATGACGCTGGGTGCAACCACACACGAACTGGTTACAGGGTTACCAGCAAACGCAGTTACTGCGCTCACAAACTCCCCAGCATGTCCCAGGCCACTGTCGCTTGCTACTGCTCTGGTAATGGTACTATTTATCCCCCCTAGAGCACCAATATTTGGGGAATTACCCCCCAGCTCCTGTGGCGGTACTGTCCAGGTGTCCCTTGGTGGTACAGTGCCAGTGGTATCCGTCCCAGTTTGCAACCCCGAACCTTTACAAGCTGAATCGGTAAAAGCAGGAACATGCTCGACCTTCACTCCGGGTGGTACAGGGGACGCGTTGCTTCCAATGAAAGCGGCCTGGCATTGCATGGGCGATACCCCCTGGTTTATCGAGAGAGCTTGTAAGGGGGATGCAGCCAATTCTTTCCTGTCCACCTGCTGCCCCCCGATCCTTCCAACCCCTCCCTTATCTGCACCCACAGCACCACCTCCCACTGCACCCATTTTTGGCTCCCCATTCCCCCAATTTCCCCCATCCGCCCCACCTCCCCTAACTCCTCCCTTTCCCCCAATACCCTCAAGAGCTCCACTTACCCCGCCTCCCCCGCTGCTTCCTCCGCCTCCCCCGCTTCCCCCGCCTCCCCCGCTTCCCCCGCTCCCCAGCGCGCCCATATCAGCGCCAGCGCCCCTGGCGCAGTTCCCCATCCCCCCGCCGTACTTATCCACCATAGTGGTAACCACCTTCCCCATGACCACGTGGAGAAGCGGCGTCTGTGGCGGAGACTGTCGCAGCATCGGGAGTTGCCCGTTTCCCTGCCCGTTCTCCTGCCCGCTCGCGTGCCCGTTCGTCTGCCCGTTTTCCTGCCCGTTTCCCTGCCCGTTTCCCTGCCCGTTTCCCGGTTCCGTCATCTGCTCTTTCCCCTGCGCGGTGCTGGTTCCACCTATTTCGCCTGCCGCAGCCACGGGCGCAACTCTCGCCCCTTCCAGTGCCGCCGCCTTCTCGTTTCCGCCTCCCTCTTTCAGACGTCCACTCAGTGCCTCGTCGTTCTCAGCTCGATTCTCGCCGTTCAACCCTGGAGGCTTCCCCTCGCTGCCGGCATCCGCCATCGCCTCCGCATACGCGCGCGCCGCCGCCGCATCCTGCGCCGCCTTCGCCGCCGCTTTCAACGTTCTCACCAGATCGCGAACTTCGCTCGCCAACTCTCGATGCTGCTCCATATTAAGTTTCGCCGTGTTTCCCCGAATCGCCATCGCTGCCACGTCATACGCCAGCGCCGCCGTTTCCGCCGTGGGGAACGTGCCCAGCCACAGGCGCGCGCTGTTAGCGGTATCGCGAATCTCCGCCGCCCATTTTCCCCATGGGCGCAATCGCACTCCGCGGTAGTGTGGGGAACTGGAAGGCTCTTGCGGTCCCCCCTGGTGCGGAGGGTTGCGCGGACTTGCGCCAACTGTCCCCTGCCACCCGCCGTCGGTAGTCGGCGCGGGGGAAGGTTGCGCGGGGAGCGGGGCAGCGGGGGGCGGAAGGGATAACGGCGGAAGCGGACCGTGCGCCCGCGCAGCTTGTGGGCTGGGGGAGGTGCTGGAGGGGGGAAGCGACAACCCAAGCGGGGGGTTTGACGGTTGTGAGAGGAACGGTAGCGCGCCGTTATTTGGAGTTCCTGGGGGGATAGGTAGGACGTGACCGGCAGAAACCTGCACAAGGGCCGGGGAAGACCTGCGGGAGAAGCGCAGAGGGGAGTTAAGGCGGAGGGGGGAGGGGAGGCGGAGCGGAGAGGGAAGGCGGAGCGGTGAGGCGGAGGAAGAGGATGGGGAGGCGACATAGGTAGACGCGACGGCTGTTGGAGTCGGAACAGATAGTACCGAGGATGGTGCACCCGACGACGGTGCATCCAAGGGCGGTGCACCTGAAGACGGCGCACCCGAGGAAGGTGCACCTGAGGACGACATCTCCCGTGACAATGCTACAGCGGGTACGCCCGGAGAAACACCCCCGACAGCGCGCTTCTTCCAGCATGGACCATCCGAGCCGTCCGATCCCCCTCCCTGTTGAGAGCTTAGTCCCTGCACACTCAAATCCAGCCTCGCGTCACCTCCCGTGTCATCTCGCCGCGTGTCATCTCCCATGTCATCTCGCCTCGTGTCATCTCGCCCAAGCTGCCGTTTCGCCGCAGCGCCTTGCGGCCAAGCGGACGGCGACAGGCCCGGCGGTAGGCGCAGCAGCGGCATGCTGTCGGGCGGCTTCTTGCTCGTCAAGCGCGGGGGCGCGGAGAGGCTCGCGCGGATCGCATGCGGCGGACTGGACGGGTTGGCCTCACGCGGCGGAGTGGACGCGCCAACCGCGTCGGGTGTTCCTGCTGCTTCTCCCGCCGCCATTCCCGCTGCGACCTCCACAGTCAATCCTGCTGCTTCCGCGGCTCTGCCTGCGCCTGTTATTTCCTCTCCGCAGCAGGTCGCGAGGCTTCCGCCCTTCGATAAGCCGGGACGAGCGAAAGCCTTTGAAAGGTCTTCTCCTTCAGCAGCCAGACACGTTTTTGCGGGCGCCAGCACTCCAGCGTTTTCCTGATGCGCAGGTAGATAAGAGTTGGAGACTGCGACATTGCAGCTGGTAGAACTCGGTTGTCCGCGGCTGGTCAGCACGTTAGCGTCAGCTGGCGCGTCAGACGGTTCACTGAAACACTTCGGCGCTGCGCTAAGGGCAGATCCGCTAACGCATCTGGGTTCGTCATAACGAAAGGACGGCGGCGGGCTATGGTAGTTACTGGTTTGCGCGCAGCTAACGGCGTCGGGCTGGGGGTTGACTCGCTTTCGCTTCGTGAGAAGATCGGAATGCGACGGCTCGTCAGGACGACCAACGGTCACGATTGCTTCCTTGTTTTCGGCGTCCACTTGAGGCGGCGTTCCATTAGATTTCCCTGACGAACCTCCTGGCAGCTGCGGCAGCTGCAGCGGAGACATCGGGCCGAACCATGAGCTCGCTTAACTCCAGAACCACTAGCTAACTTCACGTCTCCCCTCAGTTCTTTCAGTCAACGCGATGAAACTTCGCCACGTGTCGTACTGTAGTATGTCTACGGGACGTGCTTCCACTAGTGCAGTACAGCTTGTCGAGCTATTCCTAGCTTCCTCTTCGTAACCAGGGCTTCGTAGGCTAACACGACCAGAACAATTATTGCCGAGTTCCTCCTGCCACACTGATCGGTGAGCTAGCATGGACGAAAGGACATTTCCAAGGTTCGAAGGGCGAATTGCGGCGCGGGATGGCCTTGGGGTTTCTTTGAAGAAATCGGGGGCTGGTTGGCGGGAATGTAAATTTCGATTCCGAGATTTGCCTTCGTCGCAGACTCTCCTGGCGAGCGTTTAGATCTGCATGCGATCACATGGGAGGGCGATGGTGCTCGGATGGCAGGGATGGTAGTGGTGGTTGGCTCGCATAGCTCGCAATCGTCGTATGTTTTGTTGATGATCAGCCGGCAACTGCATCGCATTCTGTCGTCTGCCCCAGGCGATTTTGGTTGGCGGAAATTGAAACACATTATGTGAGGGAAACTTCACCATGAAAAAACTGAACGACGGTTTGGGTGGGCATGGACGACCTAGACGATGCACTGTAGCTGGGGATACGACGCACGACGATGCAACTTCGAGGCCTTGTTTGCAAATTTGCGGGCGCATGCGATTTGACGAGAGACTGTACGACTTATACAGGGGCGAATTCGGGGGAAAGTGGGGCTGGACAAAGTGCTCCGATTGGCCAACGGAATCATTTGGGCGCAACTGCAAACGCGAAGTTCCGAGCCGCATTCACCAAATCTCGAGACCTGCAAAAATGCCCTCACTTCGACCCTTGGCTTGGCAGACCTGGAAAAAGTAGAACCCGGACACGGCTGGAACCGCAGCTGCAAAACCAAACCACGATCACTTGTTTTGACGAGTCGCATAACAGGTATGGGTGGGTCTTGGCAAACTGCGAACCTCGATTATAATAGTGCAGCGCAAGAACACAACAAGATCACGACAGCACAGAACACTTCATTTTCCCATATAATATACTGCTTTGTATTTATATATACGCACATAATAAATCCCTGTACGCGGGCGGCATTCTAATCTCTCATCCCTTGATGATTAAACTTAATCATACATAAGGTACTGTCAAAATCATATAAACCTGTTGCTTAAGAAGCCTTACTATCATACTGCGCACATGATACATCATTAACAAATTCTCATGTTCTCCCTTCCTCATTAGTGCAAGTTGTAGCTAGCGTGGGTGACGAGATCTGCAACCTGGAGAGTGCAGAAAGATAGGGAAAGATGAAAGTAAGATGCAGCCCAAAGAGGAGGAGAGGGGAGTGGAGTAGCGATGGATAACAGCATTAAAACATTCCTCCGACGGCTTCATCCGGCAAAAGTGCTCCCGCCTGGCCTGTGGGAGCTGGCGACCGATAGCAAGGTGCACTGCAGCGTAGTGCACCTCCCAGTGCCTGCGCTCCATTCAAGCCGCGCAATACTCCTCCTGCTGAGCCGGTGTTAAGCTAGCTACAATATTAAAATGACGAAGCAGGGCTAGGAGCTGACTGAAGTGGGGCCGTATAGGAAAATGTCCTGTTGAAGCTGGCTTCGCTCTTAAAAGTCGACTTCGAGCACCCACGAAGCGAAGTCGATCGCACGTCTCTTCGCATTGAAACACGACGGACTTAGTCACCATAGTAGCAAGAAGCAGGGACACAGCTTCAATAGGTGTGCGGAAGCAACCATAAGAGACGAATGAGACCTGCAATACGGCATGCAATAGAGCACCGCAGCGCGGGTTGCACACATATGCGAGCTAATATGGGTAGTGTGCAGTTCGCAGGCGGCACGCGAGCTGGCCCGCGGCTTGAGCGCGCTGGCGTCTTGGCTGGCGGGAGCTGACACAACTGGCTGGCGCGCTGGCAGTGGCAGTACCGGCGGCAGCGGCGGGTGCGCACGACATTGGAGGGGGGGACTCAGGAAAGTCACTCTACAATTGGAGCTAGACCACGGGGTTGGTACGAGTTGTGTGGGTGATCGTAGCTCGTATCTTATGTTATCTCTACGCACACATTCAAGGGAAGAAATGGCAAGAGTTTGACTAGAAAAAGTTGCAATATAGAATGGAAGGCAATAATCACTACATCAGAGTCTAGCAACTGAGCAGGCAAAGTAGTCGACCGCAAGCGCAGCATGGTCGACAGTTTGCTAGCGTAGCGTAGAAGCAACGCGCCAGCGTTGCAGAATAGCGGCCTGCCAGCAGAGCATATCCACAGCTTGCCAACGCTGCACCAGGGCGGTGTGCCAGACTTGCACCCGTAGGTGATAGTAGCGCATGGACACACCGCTTAGCAGGTCCGCGACGTCGGTCGAGCAGGTTCTCTACTGTCCCGCTGGGGCCAAGTCGGCCACGTGTCGACGATCGTGCCTGATGCTTCACGTCGACCTCGAAAATATCAGCCCGAGGTCGCTTTCATCGTGACATTGACCACGGTAGCGCGCCTCCGCAGATCCTCGTCGAGGTCAACCGGGTCGACCGCCCAGTGCGCGGCCTGGTCGAAGACCTTCTTCATCGACGACCCCTCCTGGTCGACGGCCCGACCGTCGACCAACTCGGTCAGTTACAACCGTCGAACACCCATCAATCGACGACCCCGCAACAGTCATGCGCTCGTCAATAGACTGCTCCGTCGACTTCCCCTATCAAACTAGGCCGCCGACTCTCATGCGAAAGTGGCTTCGCAGCAATCCTCTGCGGATCGACCACCTTGTCGATCTGGACGCCCAAGTCAGCGTCGACCTTTGCGTACGATCGACCGCACATCCGCACACCCGACTACGAAGCCGGCTTTGCCCAAGCGAGGGCGGGCCAACAGCCGATTCCCATTTACAGGGACAGCTGCAGGCACAGTATGGCTGGCTCATGCGAGGGTACGGTAGGCGCGGGTGCGACTGGGGCTATAAGATGTGCACGGACGATTATAGGGCGCAAACGAAGCGTACATGTTCTAGTGCGCGAATTAGCATGAGGGTGCAACCACGTGTTGGAGTGAGGGTGGGGCACGCGTTAGGGAGGGGCGCGGACGAACAAGCTGGGCATGAACTAATATATATTTGCGGAAAAAAAAAAAAAAAAACACACACACACACACACACACACACCCAACAGCTGTTGGAAACAATAAATTGTAAACGCCTCTGTCGTGTCGAAACACCACACCAGAAGCGAAGCACGCCATGTCGAAGCACCCGCGAGTCAACCCTCGGAGGTTAAAAGAGGTTGCTGGAGGTTACGCGAAAGTCAAAAATCAAGCGACCTTTGACCTGACAAATACAGCGCGACAGTTAAGGACACACAACTGACTCGTTACAGAGCAGTTGCCCGAGTCGTACTTGTCAACAAGACTAGGCAAGAATGATTGAAAGGAGAGAGGTTTCACTAGCAGCAGTTGGGGTACATATAGCAAACCCTAACTGGGTTGTACTCGCTATAGAGCACCCCACTACAGGCTAGACAATAATAACATTCTGACACACCCCCATAGCCAAAGTGGGGTGTAATCAGTACAATGAGCAGGCATAGCAATAGTTCACAATTATAAGCAAAGCTAGAGGTGATCATAGAGGGCAAGTGAGGAGGAGGAGAAACTGTGAGGGCGAGAAGATGAAAGGCGCCGACTGAAGCTGCAGACACACGGGCAACAGGAGCGGCGCGCACAGTGGCTACCGAGCGCACGAGGGCACCGGACTACGGGAGTATCTGGCTCCGCGGCTACGACGAGCACACACAGGAGCAACGGACCCACAGGCGACTGGCGAAGCAGGCTCGCTGGGCTACCGAAACGCGCGAGGGCATCCGGACTACTGGCGCTGCTGGCGTCACGACGGCTACCTCCACGCAACCTCCCCCGACCGTCCCACGCCCCTCTCACACACCCCCTGCTGACACCCTAGCTCCACTTCCACGGCACCCCCCTTAAACCCTAAACCCTCGGCTCCCACACACCCACCCCCCTCAGCGGCAGCTGCAGCAGTGGGAGACGGAGGAGGAGGAGGAGCCGCAGGTTACCCACACCGGTCACCCCCATGCCCGCCACCCCCAAACCCTAACG